CCCATTTTATATTTCATCAGAAAGAGGGACCGAACTCTGCAATGCCTTGTTAATATTGCCCTGAAGAATGTAAGTCAAATTCTTCAGAATATCAAAGATTCACTGGACAAGTGGCGAAGGGAAGTGAAAGAAAAGTTGGAGGCGGTCGACACGTTGTGCTTCGAAGAGGCCGATTCACTCTCTCCCGAACAGCACGCTTTGCTTCGTGAAAGGCGAAATCAGTTGACCATCGACTATGACAATGTCGTTCGCGAGGTAGAAACTCTTCACGGAAGGTAAGTAGTCTCACAGAACTCCGGAGTGAACGCTATGTGTTGAGAGGCGCTTTAGGGAACTAAGAAGGGTATAAAGTTTACACCAATGAATTTACGAAGTTTTTTAGCGGTTATGTAAATGCGTGCGAAGAGCAAAGTCCACAAAAGAGTTCCGCCCACCCCACAAGTTACGGGTTGAACTCAACTCATGTTTTTCTTGAGCCATGAAAGACATATCATGAGGTCCTCGTTCTCTAGCTCTAGATTTCTCAAATTAATTAAAAATCAATTGCGGGCATAGTTTAGCTGGGGGGGGGGCATTTTGCACCTTTCGCTACTTCCCATCGTTGTGTCAAGATAATGAGTAAAGGTCTGTGAAATCGTATGAAGTCATAAAGTGATGTCAATCAAAGTTTATAGAGTTCACTTGCCAGCTGTCGAAACAGTAATTGAGTTGAACACGACGATGAGAAGTAGCGAAAGTACAAATGCCCCCCCCCCCCTCTCGCCTTGCCGAATTGCGCTTAATTGCGTCTAACAGGTAGGAATTTCGCGCTACTTGCAGCCCACTTGGTCCTATTATTGCTTGACGTGGAAAATGGCTTTTTCCGTCAAATAGAGCACTTCATAAAGCAAGCGCAGGGTCAAGAAGATCTTCCCCAAGATTTGCAATGTCCATTCCCAAGGAACCTTTAGTGTGCCCATTAGATTCGTAGCAACCAGAAGCCACTGGGTCATCGGGATGCAAACAAATGGGTGCGGTCACTGTTTTTATAGGTGCTTGGGTACTGTAGATTTCCAGTGCATGATTTGTTATTCAACCTTGCAATCCTATTATTTCGGGTTGATCCTTATCTCAGCGACGCGCATACTATTGTTATAATTTCAATCAGGGTCGTGGTCTGCACTGCATCATTTCACATGTTGTTGTCGGACTATCGATTTCTGAACCCATTCTGAACCCAAGTTTCTCAGACTGAACGTCCTCGCCACTCTGTTGATCGAATTCTCTTCAAAATCCTCGTCTCTGCAATCGTGGATGACCCATCAGACTAGGGCCATTGGCTTGATTCGTGAAAGATCTGCCGAACTGCATCATCTCAGCGAGGTATTCTTATTCGTTCTTTCGTTGTCCTCAGCCATCAGGGCACATCAGCGTTGTGAAAATTTTTTTATAAATTATGTCCCCTCCCCTTGCCGATTTTCTCCTTCGGTACGTCACGCTATATCTTCCTTTGTACGTCGTACTGGGGATCCCCAGCGAAGAAGGTCATTTGGTCGCTAAAAGGAGGGGGGGGGTGTACTCGCCTTGGAGAAGAATGTTTCGGTCGTTGACTTTCTGGTTTTTCCTGTTTCAAGTGCGCTATATCCCCCTTCCCTCCCCTCCGCTCGGCAGCAGTTGTTCTTGTGGGAAAAAAGTGGAGGAGATTATGGGAACAACTTCGGAAAGACAGGTGGGAATCTGACGAACTTCAGGAAGATTGTTGGTAGAATGGGGAGGGGCTCGTATTCTGCTAAAATTTTCCCTAAGGGGCAGGGCGTGCCCACCTTTCATCTTGCCAACTTTCGGGGTTGTTTTAGTATTATAACCTCTGTTTAGCCAAAAGTTGTGACAAGATTGTTGAGTAGGCAAAATCAGACCCCATGTGGGATTCGAACCCCCACTTCACGATTATCGGTGAGTGCGCTATCCATTACACCATCAGGACCGCTCAACAAATTGTCCCCAAAGTTTGCCATCGGTCGAGGTGGGGGGGGGATATGGAT